TAAAATAAGGAGGAAGAAAGATTAAGATGTGTCAACTCTGTGAACTAACTAAAATTTGAGACAATTCTGGAATGGCTAAAATCATTGCACGTAAGACTGAGCCTCAGGAGATGGTGAAGGAGGAAAAGAGTGCTATTGCCTATTGGCATGGATAGTGCCATGTACCCAACTATGACCAAGGTTGAGGCCAATCACATGACTTATTAACCTATCACAAGTCACCCCATCCCATAGGCAACACTCATTACCCTTCTTTCAGGAGTTTGTCTTAGGAGGATAACCAACAGCGTTGCTACATACAATGACTTTTAAGTGAGTAAAGCAGAGATTTCTTCAAGAAAGCAATTTTTTGCTGATACGGGAGAATAATCGAAAGACAAAGAACAAATAACTTGAAGATGCAAGAAATGGAAGCTAATGAGAAGTAGATACCGTGACATTATCCTCCAAGTCTTTTTCTTTTCAGGAAACATGAAATGAGAAAGGTGTTTCCAATGTTTCCTAAGCCTTCAGCAATTTATACAAGAAAATTTAACTCTCTGGACCTCCCAAGTTTGCATGTTAAAAAAATGACCCTAAAAATATTTTTGAATTTTTTTAAATTTAGAAAAGCTGACGTGGCACACTTAGAATTCATTAAACATGTAAAACGGGTTAAACTGAAAAGATTTAAACATATATGGGTAAAATATATTTAACGAAAGTTTGTTTAAATTTTGAAATTTGAAAATAAGCCCCCACCAAAAAGTGACCGATGAACACATTTCATTTCTCTGCGATTTTCAGCAACGACAGTGCCTTAATTCCGACAAATATTCGATCCTAAAGCTTCCTTACACAACACCATGGCTGACATTCACAAAGAGGAAGAAAACCCAACCCCACTTCGAATACTAGACTCTGGCAGTGCCAACAGTTCAAAAGTTGTCGAAGAAGATGCTCTGGTGGATCATCCGATGAGTCAAGGTGGACATCCGAGAATTCAGGCAAGGAGGAGGATGATGGTGAAGAAAGGGTACGTTTTTTACTTTTTGTTTTGAATTTGATGAGAAATTTGATTGATATGTGCGAATTTGGAGATAGGTAGTTGGTTTTATTGTTATGATGGTTGTGGCATTTTGTCGAGCAGTAGGTGGGTATGAGGGAGTGGCTTTGTTTAGGTTCCAAAGGATGGGGGAAGGCAAGGGAGGTTGTTTGTGGAGGTTGGAGGGCTAGGGATGGTAGGAGGTGGAGTATGGGCGCTGGAAGGCTGGCCTAGATATTGTAGGGCTAGCCATGCACAGCTGCGCCCCTCCAGCCCCCCTATTCTGTCACCTCCTGCCATCTTCAGCCCTTCAACCTCATGGAACCTACCACTACAAGCTTTGTAGGGCTTGCATTGGCCTCCCCCATCTTGTCGAGGCCAAAAACACCTACTCCTTGATGCCCTCAAAGGCCATATCCCTTAAATTGTTAGCCTATTGGTTGTTTTTTGGTCTCTTTTTTTTTTTTTTTTTTTTTTGCTAATATTTAGTTTATATCGTTTGTGCATATTTTACAAAGCGTAAAGTATAAAGACTATGGAGATTGTAAGCGATAAAGTACCATACTTCCCCATAAAGGTGACAATTAGTTCAAGTTGACAAGTTTTCATGAGAATAATGGAGATTTTAAAGGAGCAGAAGAAGGGTATAGATCGATTTAAAGAGAGTTGCTTCAGTTATTTTGTGAACATCAGAGAAAATTGGAAAAGGGCTTTCTGGGGCAGGGAGTGCATTATATGTTGCTGCACTCAGTAAAAAGCCAAAAAAAATGAAATGTGGTTCGTGGTGGATGGGAAGCCACTACGATTGGGGATGATGGAATATGCCATGGTGACAGGCTTAAGATCCAGGGCATTTCCAGACGCGGAAGAGCAAGACAGAATAAAAAAGAGTAGGGCAGCTGATAACTTGGCTAAAAAGGTTTTGAGGGGGAAGGCATCTATTATGGGACGCGATTTAGAGGAGAGGCTAGGAGAAGTTGGGTTTACCTCTTCAGAGAGGTTCAAGATGTGTTTGGTATGGTTCGTTCATTCGATTCTAATGTGTTCAGACTCAACAAAAGCCGTTAATATGGATTTGGTGAAGTTTGTAAGCAACATGGACTTCTTTAATGCTTATCCATGGGACAGTTATCATTTCAGCTAACCATGGACTCCCTGCAAGGAAAAGATATGGCGTTAAAGCATCGTCAATCTGTTGAGAAGAATAGACTGAGCACGTACAATTTATTTGGCTTCCCATGGGCCATGCAGGTAAATATTAATAGTTTTTTGTATTATATGTGTTTTAATTATGATATGAACTGTTTTTTTACAATATAGTCTTAGATGTAAGAGGTTGTCCTTGTCCTAGCTTAGGTAGGGGAGAGGATGAAGACTTCCGATGAGCGACTGCAATTTTCTTGGATGTTGCGGTGCCACATCGAGAAGTGTACCCATTAGGATTATGACAAAATAGACATAGAAATTCAAGCGGCTCGAGTAAGATTAAAAGATTAATCTTTTGAATATGAACTTGCTTTTAAATGTGGCTTAAATTTGATTAATTTTTTTTCTTATTGCAGGGAGTCGTCCATCCCTTCCTTACCGCTACTATGGGTGAAGCAGGAGAAGAGTATCACTACAAGAAAAAATACTTTTTGCAACCATTTTTTTTGCAACTAGGCAAAAATAGTTGCAGATACCCCACATTTAGTAACTAAATTCTAATTAGTCAGGCAAAGGGAATAAAATTCTAGGGCCCATTTAGTCCCGCCTTTAGCATCTAAAATAAATGTTTTGCGACTAATGTGATTTGTTGCCCAAAATATCACATTAGCGACTAATTTATTTGGTTGACAATTCTTACGTGAACACAATTGGCAACTACAATAAGAGATTCTGCAACTAAAATTATGGTTACAAAAAATAATTATTTGCAACTACTAAATAGTTGCTAAATTAGATGCAAATATTTATTAATTAATTTGTAACTATTTTATTAGTTACAAAATAATACAATTACCAAAATATCCAAGCTTTTGACAATAATTAAAAAGGTCCCAGAGTACATTTAGCAACTAATTATTTTGTGCATATTACAACTAGTTTCAAAAACTCATGTATAGCAACTAAAATGTATTTAATCACTAAAAGTTGATGAATTTTTTTGAACCCAACTTTCCCGGTAAAATGAAAAAAATATTATTTTAATTTGTGACTAAAATTACAATTGCGTAACTAAGATTTTAGTTGCCAAATGTATGGTAAATTTTAAGCGCCCATGTTCCCGCTTGAAATAAATTGAAATTTTGGGTATGTTGTTTTGGCAACTAAAGTTATAGTTGTTAATAGGATTTTTTTGTAACCAAAATGTTAGCCACTAAATATTGTTTATTAAAAATAATACATGTTTGATTCTACTTTTGCCGCCTACATTACCATCTCTTTGATTCTACTTTTGCCGTCTATATTACCCCATGAAGTTAACTTTTTTTTTTTAAGTTTTTATGTCAAAGCTCATTCTTTTACAGGTGGTATTTTAATTTTATTGTTTGGTTTTCAATTCGTTTCTTCACAACATTTGCTTTAATTTGTTTAAGTATCTGTTGTTAGTGACGTTCCTAAATGGGTGGCTTTAACTTCGTAATGGGTGATTTTATTTTTGTCTTCTCTATCATCTGACATTACCATATACTCCGTTTTTGTTTTGGTTTTACACATGGGTTTTGTGAATGTTTGTGTGCACTCAAATTTTGAATAAGTTGTCAAACAAGAGATAGGGAAAGTGACGAATGAATCTGCTTTCTCAAATTAAAACCTTAACTATATTTTAAAGGACGTTATTCTTTACCCTTCATCCACAACTTTCTTACATTTTAAACATCACCATTCAGTTGTTCAAAATTATTAAAGAAATTTGAGTTACCATCTATGTTTATACTAAAAAAATTTCCCCTCTTTTATTAATTCATATTAAAAGTCAATGCAATATTGACTTGATTTAAGTTTTGGTTGACTTTAACTTAATTAAACTATGTTTGATCAACGCTATAAAAATTTATACTATAATCTTTGAAAGCCAAAAATAAAAATATTAAAAGAAGGTTTTGTTCAAGGTTTACTCAACCCTTTTACTCAAAATTTTGCTTCTTATAGATTTATTCAATTAAGAAAATATTGTGTTGTTGTATATTTTTTTTTCTCAGGTTCTTAATATTGTATTTTTTTTTATTATTATTAAGGTTTGGTGATTTTTGAAAGTTTTCACAAGTTATTTGACAAATAACGGCAGAGCAGCGGAAGCCCCCCCAGACAAAAATTCTGGATCTGCCACTGTCCACAACATGCACTACACATTAACATATATGATTAGCACATATCAAGTGATAAAGCTGACTAATATTAAAATAATATTCTATATAATTTATTTTACTTGTAGTTTTCATATAGCTTAATATTTGCGTAAAATATTTATGTCAAAATTTTAATTTAAAAAATATTATCTAATATTTAGAAAATTGGGCCAGGCCTTGACTCTGTCAAGGGCCTTATTCACGATTCAATCGATCGGTATGTCGGCGACAAAAATATTTTTAAAAAATTGTAAATTAGTCTTCTAAATTATAGTATATTATAAAAATATCCCTAAAAAATTTAATTAGTCCCTAAAAATTTAATATATTTCAAAAAATACCCAAATAAATATCAAACTAATCCCCAAATGTTTGAAATACTAAAAATACCCCTAGAACCTGAACCAAACCAAAGAGGTTGCTAGTTCCCGATCCGATTCGATTTTCAGAACATTGATCTTATCCCATTTACTATTATAGTGTTACATATTAATACAAAATTTGTGGGACAGACACGTGCACTCAATACTACATGCCAACATTTGTAATGTGCACGTCTAAGTGATTATAGAAGACCGCACATGAACAAGTCCCATTGAAAAAAAATGAATAAAAAAAACAAGTACAAGTGTATTTACCATGACTATTCTCCAAATCACAAATATACTAACTAATAAAAAAGGTTTCTATTGTAAAAGAAAGCATTAAATTCTTAAGAGTAGAATCTCAAGATTCTAATGCCAAAGTAATGCATCATGTAATACTGCATAAGATCTGAAGTTGAACTCTTGTCAATTAGCTTTTCCGGATACTGCAAGACTCCTGGCTTGTTCCTCTAAAGAAGCAATACATTCATTTTCTGTTGAAGTTGAAGTTGTCAATGCTCATCAACAAATGCAAGAAACTTATCCCTTTGATCTTGACAGAGAGATGCTCAAATCCCATGAGGCAGCAGCGACGAATAAACTCTTGCGCGACACTGATCTCATGACTACTTACTGTTGGCTGCTGTGAACACCCTGGCAGAGCCTCAAGAGAATCATCAAGCATATTCTCATGTTTTGCAAAGATGATCCTTGCATCACCTGTAGTTGAGAATGAATGCTTATAGAAGTGAAAGCATATTTCTTGATCAAGATATGAGAGGAAATGAATTACCTCACTCTCTAGATGGGTTGAAGGTACAGAGCGAGCAAGGCTTCTGGCAGAAGCTTGAACAGATGGTTGTGGCTGGAAATATCTGGTGGAGAAGTTGGCAAAGATGCTGTAATGAGATTCCGCAGAATTATCTGGGAGGGGAGGAATCTACACCTGCAATAAATGAAGTTAAAAAGAAACTGAGCCTAAATAATTTTCATTCATTTATTGCAAGGGGAGACAGTTACCATGGTTAAAGGAGGTGTAGTAGGTTGTACTAAGGCAGCAGAATCTTGGTCTTCGAATGTAGAAGAAATGGGAGCTAGTCCTGGTACCAATTCCATTGCAGGCTCATCTATCAAAATGAAAAAAAATAAATAAGTAATATGTTAGTTGAGATACAAATTGAAGAACATAAAGCAATTGAGGAAAGAAATAACCTGCAGTTTCCTCAACTAAAAGGTTCCTGACTTGCATTGTCTTATCGACAGTTGCTACTTCTTGATCAGACTTAAAGATTCTAGTCAAGGCTTCTGGTGGTGGAGCTGTTTTCAAGAAAAAAGCAGTTTGGATAATCTAATATACAAACTAATACACACAGGAAGGAGCCTGGAAAATTCACCTGCAACATCTATTATATCATTTCAGCAGCAAGCAATTCCATTACAGGCATGACGATAGAAGCGAAACAACTTTTCTGCACAACAACAACTGATCCTGACGAAACTCATGCTATGGAAGAGGGATTTTAGTTTTGAGCCTCTTCTCGCTCTGCTATTTGTTATACATAACAAAAAAAAAAAAAAAAATCTATGACATTACAGGATTGTCACATCATTCGTAACATGTCAATATTAAAAAAAACATCGTCGATATCACATCCTTGGGTGGATTTTAATCTATCTACCCGTGGGAATGTGTCAACACATGAGGCTTAGGCCATCAAGTTTGAGTTGTTTCTCACCTAAGCTAGAATGAAAGACGTTATAGTTAACCAAAAAGCAATACAAGCCAACCCATTTATATGAGTGATCAAATGCATAATCTTTTTTGATAAATTTTACAGACCTAAAGAAATGAATTTTGGAATCAATTTGTAATGATTTTAAAAAGATTTTTATCTATTTGTTTTTCAAAATTTTGTAACAGTGCCATATTCAATATGTCACAAGAACTGGAAAACTAAAAAGTTTCACCAGTAGAATAATACGATTTACATAACATCTCAAATATAGTTTTCTTACACCCACTGCAGTATACACCAATATTTCTATTTTCTNGGCATCTGAGGAACTTGTAAACATGCCCACGTTTGCTCCCATTCCAGTCACTATATGAAGTACAAAATTCAAGACAAAGAAAGCATATGAGTGTAGTTCAACAAGATCAGGGAAACAACTCAAATAGAAGTTATGTAATCATCAAATATTCACCCGCATAGAATGATGGGAATGGGATTAAGATTGTATTCTTTCTGATACGATTCCACATGTTGCACAATTTTGTATACCTAAATATAAAATAATGTATTAGCACTAAAATAAGAGACAAAGGCAAGTGGTGTGGCTACTTGAGCCGCTGCTATTAAGATAAGATATAAGTCAAAACACAGAATCAGATATTAAATTCACCTGATGCAATCGTACTATACAAAGACTAGAATCATGAGGAAATAACAAGTGGGTGTTCACAATAAGAAGTTCTTGCTGAACATCGCCATTTCGACACTGTGAAAAGGGGGCTACTAATTCAACATGTAACAACTGAGCAACACGATCTCCACAATCATTAAAAAGCAATTGCCTATAGTTGATAATTCTGAAGTGGTCCTTGTGCACAGCAGTTAGCAGACCTACCAATAGCAAGAAACACACAGTAAGCTAAAGGAATAAATAAAAATCAGGCGCCAACATAACATTGCCTATTCCTTTGAAACAAACATATTCACACGCTAAAAACACCTTCCCCCATCTAAAAACTTTTGAGTTGGAACAAACAAAGAAGGATTCATCTCACATCATTTTTGATTATTCACATAGAAACCAAAACTTAAAAAATGTCACCATTCTGAAGGGTAAAAATCAACTCTCTCAAACTCCTTTTTATAGACATTTGCTTGTTATCCTTTCAAAAAGTCAGGCACTATAATTTTGTATTGCTTCAAATTTGGCTACAAAATTATCATAACCCATCTTAGGAAAAATTGTCAAAAAGTCCAATACTATTATATAAATATGAATAAACAAAGCAAAAAATAGAATGAATGGAAAGAAAATACCATCACCACGATTGTTGGTTCGGCCTAATTTGAAATGGAGATAACCAGCATCCCCCAATCTCTTCTCATAAATATTAACAAGCTCTTCATTTCCCACCCAAAACTCCCGAATCAATCAATTCGTACCCATTATATCATTATACTACATTCATTTAAAAAGANTTCTCTCTAATGAATCTCTTACTGTACACAAAATTTGATGACAGTAATAAATTACAGGAGCCAATCAATTACAAAAACTTTTTCCAGCAAGTGTAATCAAACAATGACCATTAAAGACCTTTATGCGCTTTATCATCTGGTAACTTTAGAAGGCAAGCAACTTTACAGTACCCAACATGATATCTATACAGAGATTCTTCGTTCACTTCTGGTTTCATCTCATTTTCAGAAGGTTTCAGCCTTCTTAGAGCCCATTGCATTGCCCATATGGCCATCGGACACATGTAACATGGTACTCTTAAACCATCACCGGTAGTCCAAGCTTCTGGAGTTTGGTCAGAGTAACTACGAAGAATACAGCAATATGTCACTGAAGCAGGAACAAATAATTCTGGTGCAAATAATTGTCAGTGTAATTATGCAGAATGAATAGTTTCCTATTGGAATCGGAAGAATATATCCTAAAGGGAGTAACCTGGAGAGTAAAAATACTATCTATTAGACATTATTAATACCAGAGTTTTGTCCAACAATTTTCACCACCTCAAACTACAAGTAAATGGTTAATCGGCACATCCACCAATTTATGTCTGCAATACCTGACAAAAGCAATGATGCAATGAAATCTATAAACATTTCAAACTGATTTAGATCTAGAAAACAGACTTATAGCATAGTTAAAAGCCTATTAATGGCAAATGGCTACCACTATGCCTTGTCCTTCAAGGTTTCAAAAGGTAACACCGTTATATAAGATAAAGGGGATCTTACCCAACTCCATTTTTAGATCATGCCGCTTCATAGATTCCAGTGACAGTTTGAAATCCCATATCAACCAAATCTTCATGGATCATCGTTACAATAACTGCATGTATCACGGCAAAACATATTTCTCTTGACAGCAATGTTCTCATGTCAACTGCATTCTTCGTACGGTGACAATCATAGAGTCTTTCTGCAGCTGGCTGAGGCTTTTGCTGTTTCATATTTCAATGATGTCAAATAATGCTCTCCTGACAAGGATACTGCTCTGAAAAAGTGAACCACTCCATAAATTTTTATCATGAAAACTTCAATTTCGCTTTTGGACCGGAAATTGAGGAAGCTGGTTCAAACATTCACGATAATTTTTGGCCTTCATTAGTAATTGCATGACTAAGGACATTGTACATTCAGTCGGCTTCACATTTATCTCCACCATCTTATGAAGGAGTTCAACAACTTTTGGTATCTTATTATTCTTGAGGAAACCGAACATTAGGGTGTTAAACGTGATTACATCTGGAGCACAACCTTTTTCCTCCATATGTGACAACAACTCATTTGGCTTTTCTAGTTGTCCATTTTTACAAAGCATATTGATCAAAATGCTATAAGTGACTACGTTTGGAGTAGTTCCCGAACTCTTCATTTCGAAATTCAAGTCTATCGCCTTCTTAACTAATCCAAACTTCCAAAGACCATCAATTATAGTACTATAAGTAACAAAATTTGGCCTACAAATAACACCAGATTCTTCATTTCCCTTAGCCAATTCTTCAAGCAACTTAATGGCAGGACTTATCTTCCCTGTTTTACACAATCCATTCATTAAAATGTTGTAAGTATAAACGTTAGGAACCACACCTCTCTGAATCATAAGCTCCAAGAACCTATTTGCTTCGTGCAATTTCCCTTTCTTGCAACGTTCATCTATGAGCACACTAATTGTCACCACAGAAGGCCGCACACCTTGATCCATCATTTCAATAAATAAACTTCTACCTTTTTCCAATCACCCACACAACAAAAACCATGAATTAGAGTGGTATAAGTGACTGTGTTTGGACTCATTCCAGAATCCTTCATTTCCAAAAACAATTTTCTAGCCTTCTCAATTAACCCAGCCTTACAAAGACCATCAATTATAATAGTATAAGTAACAACATTTGGCCTACAAATAACACCAGATTTTTTATTCCCATCTACCATCTCTTCAAGCAGCTTAACGGCAACACTTATCTTCCCCGTTTTACACAATCCATCAATCAAAGTGTTGTAACTGATCATATTAAGCCTACAACCAACAACAACCATTTTCTGAAACAATTCCATCGACTCCACAATCTTTTTCTCTACACACAGACCTTTGATCAAACAATTAAAAGTCACAGCATTTGGGCTGAAACCCTTCTTCAAAATCTCCCAAAAACCGCAAAACCATCAGAAACCCTTTCAATCTTACACAAGCAATCGATCAAAACGGTCAAAGACAATAAATCTGGCGACAGTTGAATTCAACCAATTATAGAGAGAAATCACTTCATAATAATGCTTCTTCTTTGCCAGTGCACTAAACAAAGTAGTGAATGACGAAATTGGAGAGATGGGTTGCCAACTAATCATGTAATGAAAAAAGTATAATGCTTCATTCAGAGTAAAGTGACCTGATCGACAGTTTTCTTTGAGGAATTTAGCAAGTGAGGATTGTTCTAGGGGTTTTTCGAAATAATACAAAACTTCATTGTTGGAGCTTGAAGTTGTGAGGTTGTGCAAGTGAGCTAACAAAGATGAAATATTACCTTTCAGAGATGGGTTTTGAGAGATTGAAGACGAACGAAATGGGGATCTCAAAGCCATGTATGAAGAGCGTTTTCCTGCTTCAGGGTTGGATGGTTGCTTTTCGGTGGGGGTTTTACTTTTTAAATTCCAAAATTATCCAGCTGACCAAACCAACTAAAGTAAATCTTGCAATTGAAATTTGAATTTAATTTACAATGATATTAAAAATGTTTTTTTTTTTTTTTTTCTATTTGTTCTTGAAAATTTATATTTCATATACAGGAATGTGATATATTAAAAATTAAAGATATTTATTTTACTTTTTAAAAATTATATGAATAATTTTTTCATATCAAATTAACAAGAGTATCAAACTAATTATGTTTGTTAAAATATTTGTATTATTAAAATAATATTATATATAATTAATTATAATTGTTAATTTTATATTATATAAAAGAGTTATATTAATCATCTTGATATAATAAAAATAATCTAATTTATAAAACATTAATTATGGTTATTAATAAAAATACTAGCATTACTCGCTACTTTTACTCAGCCCTGACGTATCTGACAGAGCCGCATCACTCAGCGGCCACGTTTCTCCCCATCAAAAAAAAAAAAAAAAAAAAAAAAAAAAGAAGTTATATTAAACCCTAAACTGAAATTTTGAGGGAACCCAAACAGAAAGAGTAAACACCCTGTTTTTCGCAAGCTTCAGAATCGGCAACATCCCCTCTTGTTCTTGCTACTTGGGTCTCCCTTGGTTTGCTAGAATAGATAGGGCATTACCGCTCTTTGCTAGGATAGGAGAAGGACACGCATTAAAGCCCGGGAACAAATGCTTCAAGGCTGTACCTCCTTCGTCCCGATCGGCCATTACCAGTAGCAGAAGATTATCCAACTACAGGAACCCAGTCATCTTCTTCCCGTCCCATAGTTTCTGTCCCTTCATCCCCGCCCAGTCGCTAGGCACCTGCGAAGCAATGCCTTGTGCGTTCCCCATTAGCCGCATTTGGAAGAACGGAACTGGTTCATTTTATCTTCTCCCCTGAATCAGATTAACCCGACTCCAATCTCAACCAATTTCCATTTTCGATTTTGAAAAACCATAAGCCTTAACCTTCCAATCTCAGCCACCTTCTCGAATCCAAAAATAAGGGAGTACGAAGATCACATACGGAGAAAGGGGTGAAGAAATGTTGGATTCTTATCACAGATGAAACAAAAAAGGTGAACGACAGTGGTGAAAACAAGCAGTGGTTAGGTGAGTGGCCGATTTATTTGCTCTCATTTCCATTCTCTTGTTCTTTTCTTCCTTTCTTGTTGGTTTCATTAGCCGTGGCCTCGGCTTTGGTTGTAGAAGCTGTCATGAACGACACTTTAAATGTTTGTGTTAATATTTGAATGAAGGGTAGATGATGTCAAGGTTTTGTGTATTTTAGTAGTGGATTTTGATTACAAGCTAATTGTTTGTGCTAATGCTTATGTGAGGAGTAGACATATCTGGTTTTTGTATTGTAGCTATGGTATTAATTGATGTTCGGTGAAGAGGAAATGATGATGTTGATTTTGATTGTGCTTGGGTAATTCTTGTGTAGAATTTTTTGTGTAACTGCATATTTAAGAGCTTAAGTTGCTTTGGTCTGACTTCTAAGAGTTCTTTGTGAATTTTCCTTTTTATATAATTTAAGCACTATTTTGTTTGTTTATATAATTCAATGGTCATTTCAAAGTTTGTTTTAATGTTCAGTTTGAGTGAAGAGTAGCTAACGTCAAAGGTTTTGTTTGTGTTTAGTTTGGGAAACATCCTATTACCGGGAGCCCACTGAAGCTGAGTGATTTAATCCCAGTTACTTTTCTCAAGAATGCTGAAGGTTGGATTCTTTTAATCCATTTTAATTGTTTAGTTCAATTTTGCTGTATAGGATTGTTCATTTTTTTTTTCCCTAAAGCTTTAGCTATGCATGCTACTTGATTGCCTGAGTTTCGAGGAAATGGGTGATAATTTAGACATGAAGGATTATGGTCTGATTCAAGTTAAATGTATGAGTACAATTCAAGGATTTTAATAAACAAGTCTTAGTTTTGATATTGGGTGGGCCTTTTACAGGAATATGCTTCCTCCAATAAATGTGTTTTACCTGTAAATTTTTAATGATTGTGGAATTGCTTCTGTGTGATTGTGTTTAAGAGTTTGGGTTGAAAACTGTGTAGGAACTTATTCTAAACTAACTTGAGCTGTTTCCATTTTCATCATTCTGTGGTGAGCAGGTTTTTTAGGATGACAAATAGATAATAATATCTTCTAAATGAGCGTAGTTTATAAACTGTTGCACAGCTGTATGCGGGTTATGGAGTCATGGTAGTGAAGATGATAGAATGATAATGTTGAAGGACTAGAGAATGTGTTGACTTGTTTTTTGAGGCAGGGCAATTTGCTGGTGAAGTTAGAGCCTCTAGACTGTTGTTGTTCTTGGATGAGCCAAGAGGCTTTCAGTTTACTAGGACTGCCAATCAAGTCTTAGTTCTCAAGTGACATTTTTTTTTTTCAGGAGGTAAAAAAAATATATAAGAGGAATCGGCACTAGGGAATTGCTATAGTTCTTGGAAAAATTCCACTGTAAGGCAAAATGTTATAGTGAAGGAAGATAAAGTGAACTTTCCAAGTGTAGCTTATGTTTGGTATGTGAATTTATGAATAATAGATGTATTGGTATTATCTGAATTTAGTTTCAATTGAATGAATAGAGAGGAGATCTTCAACAACTTGCTTCTTGACGGGAATATGATGGAAGCTATAGCAGATTCTGATGTCACTATATCTATAAGCTCATAGATTTCGCAATGGAAATTTTTGGATTGCTGCTTCTGCTTTCCAATTATTGTTATTCTTAATGTTCAATTTGTTGGTAAAATTGTGTGCAGTCCTAAACAGCCATGACATACATGGTTATGATACTTATTTGATATCATAAATTCAAGCCTATAGACCATGTGTCTTTATCTTGTTTTTGAGTTCTATATTCCTCTGGTTTACTACTATTGTATCTTAACAATATAAAACTTTTTTTCACTTTCTTTGCAGGAGAGTATCATTGCCCCGTGCTAAATAAAGTTTTCACTGAATTTACTCACATTGTTGCTGTCAGGACTACAGGGAACGTGTTCTGTTATGACGTATGTTTGTTGGATTGTCATCGCTTTTAGTGATATTACTTCAAGTTCATGTATACAGTATGTAGATAAATTCTTCATTTGTGTACTCTTGTCTTATAGGCAATCAAAGAATTAAACATCAAGACGAAGAATTGGAAAGAGCTTCTAACTGATGAACCTTTCACTAAGGAAGACCTTATAACAATTCAGGTAATTAGTTGTTTTGAACATATGATGTTTAGCTTTGTTGATTGCATGGTGGTGGTTTTAAGTGGCATGAATTTTATGATGTAGCTAACGTCATAAAATTCATCAAAGGTTTTGTTTGTGTATTTAAGTAATGGGTTTTGATTACAAACTAACTGTTTGTGGTAATGTCCAGTCATCTGCAACGACGACCACTGCCGAGCTCAACCACCTTTTAGTCAAGCACTCCCTTTCACTGAAGATTAATCCATATGAAACTAGTGTTTGGAATTATTAATCACCACTTCCAATAATTCAACATTGAACTTAGTTAGAAATCACAAATATAATTTACAAGAAACGAGAATTAGATTAGAGTTCAATGGGAATTTTGGTTGATGTATCTTATATCTAAAACACAAATATTAATAAGGAACTGGTATGGCTGTGGATGGACAGGACCAATGTCCAGATGTTAACTTCAGTGAATTGAAACCAAGAATTTATGGAAAAAAAAAAAAATTTGGAGCTTTATTAGTGTTGACCGAGTATGTGGTTTTGTTTAACATTACATGGCAGATTTTTGGTCATTGACAACCTATACTTAAAACCATTTCATGGGATGGACATGGACATAGATTATGTTGCTTTTATTAAGCTGTTTCTTTTACTATAATATGTTCTAGGTTAGTTTAGCTTTTAATTTAATGCAACATTGAGCTTAGCATCCATTCCATGAAACAAAGCAATTGTGATTAAACAGACACCAGATAAATCATATTTCCTATTGAATGCATCACATTAAATCATAAATTGTGTCATCTATACAACATCAAACTTTGTCAACAATAACAATAACAAAGTCTCCTCTGTAATGAAATGATTTGCTGCTGCTGCTGGGGCCTTTTGGTGCTGTTTTGCTGCTGCTGGGATTTTTCTTCGCTGCTGCTCGGGGTGATTTTGCTACTGCTGTTGGGGTTTTGGTTGCTGCTCCTGGGTTGATTTCTCGCTGCTGCTGTTGCGGTTGCTGCCCCCTAGGGCTGTTTTGCTGCTGCTAGAGGTAATTTCGCTGCTGCTGCTGGGGCCTTTTTTACTGCTGTTGGGGCTGCTGCTGCTGCCTGGGCCGTTTATTGCNAAGCCGTATGGGTTGGGTTTCAAAACATTGCTTGTGGGTCTTGTGTTCCAGTCTCTGAAAGAGGTACTTATCACATTTATTCAATTCACACATTTATTCAATTCAATTACCTTGGTGAATTGGATTTGCAAGGTATTTTGTGGTCTTTAGAATGAGGTAGACTCTAATATTGGGCTTGAACGCCTCATATACCTGAAAAAAAAAAAATATATATATATATATATATATATTAACCTAATTTGACGGAACATCAAGCTTTACATTTGTATTGTCTTGGCCACAGGCCCATAGTTAATGAGCCGGCAACATGCAACGTGACTCATTGGGCCAATCCTTTTAAACTGTGGCCCATGGACAGACTTGGCCTACTAGTATTTGCTTTGTGTAGGGCCCAATGATTTCGAAACTAGATGGAGTGGGTTCGGATATGCCTTTATTATCAGATTTTAGAAGCCTTTGTTCTGTGCTCAATATGCTTAGGCTTATAGAAATTACTCTTCTTGCTATATAAATGTCTGTTGGGTCATGTTCATCATTCTTGGAGTACAAACCTCGTGAGTGCATTTTTGTGTAATGCTAGTCGGCCTCATACATGGTACCCACGTGCTCACAACAAGATTCGCAAAGTTGTTTTACATGTGGGCCTAGTTAGTAAATACGCGTTTTATACGCGAATTATATGTCCAGCCGTATAAAACGCGTTTTAACGTATGTTATAAAAACTGTCGAATTATACGCGTATAATATGAATACCCGTATAATTTGCGAATTATTCGCGTATAATTTGCGAATTATTCGCGTATTATTGCAAAAAAAAAAAAAACCCATTGCTCACCCCAAAACGACGTTGTTTTAGTGGGTTTAATTCAAAATTACACAGTATCTCTTCTCTTCTCTTCTTCAGTTCTTCTCCTTCCTCAGTTCTGCGACAGATGACATTTTCAACTTTTCTTCCTCAGTTCTTCGACGTTTTCAGCAAGCGTATGAAATGGGGATCTCAAAGCCATGTATGAAGGGTGTTTTCCAGGTTCAGGGGTGGATGGTTGCGTTTCTTTTTCTGCTAATTCCAAAATTATCCAGTTGATCAAACAAACTTTGTTCTGGTAAGTCGTACGGGGTTGGGTTTTAAAACTTTGTCTGTGGGTCTTGCGTTCGAGTCTTACGGATCACATGTTGGTATTTTGTGGTCTTAAAGAGGAGGTAGACTCTAATGTTGAGCTTGAACGCCTTCTATACCTTAATTTAAAAAAAAAAAAAAAGATTAACCTGATTTGACTGAACATCAAGCTTTACATTTGTATTGTCTCGGCCACAGACCCACAGTTAATGAGCCGACAACATGCAACGTGACTCATTGGGCCAATCTTTTTAAACCGTGGCCCATGGACAGACTTGGCCTACTAGTATTTGATTTCGAAACTTAATGGAGTGGGTTCGGAGCAGCCCATCTTTCGCATGTCACAGTAGTCTAAGCGAAGTCTTAAGTTGATCAGACCCGAAGGAAGCGTTGGCAACTTAACAAGAAAAGAAAAGGAGAAAAAAAAAAAAAAACTCTTCGCTGGCTGTTCGACCCAAGAATGGAATAAACTAGATTGTTGTTTTATTATTGTCTTGCCGTGTAAATATTGGTTTTTAGATTGTTTTCTCAGCTGGAGGGAGGTGGTTTCTTCCTTTGTTTAGTTACTGAGTTTAGTGTATGTGTGTCTTTTTTTTTCTTTTCTTTTTTGTCAATGGAGCCTAGTACAGTTAGAAAGCATAGTTGGCGTTAGAATTTTCAATTTTATAGGCTATCTCTATCACCTAATGGCAATGGTACATTTAAAAACTTGATACATTTAACTCCTGCTTTATTGATGAAAAAATGGATTAAATACTTTATAGTTTCTAAGTAATTTTTCTTTGTTTTGGTTATAAATCGTGGGAAAATTAATATGATTACCTCTCTCCTTGTGATCGGATGATAAACCCTTTAACCATTGGGATTAGCTATACTTGTGGGCAATGTTTTAAAACTCGGCCCGACTTGGCTGGTTTAACCGAGACCCAGAAGCTTCAACGGGCTGGGTTTATATTTTTCTTATTCATCCAAAATCCTAGGATTTGGGAGGATGATTGGTGAATAATTGACGGCCGAGATGTTGGAGCTTTTTAAGAGAAAGTGCCGGTGAATGTAATGATGGTGATGGAGTTGATTTCCGGTGAGTAAATCGATCGGAAATCGAACAAAATTGGCAATGACAACAATCGACTTTTGCTGGCGATTGGCGAGGCTAACAGGGGTGAGGTGAGGTGGGTTTTGGTTGAGAGGAAGAGGGGAGTAATTTCTGGGTTATGGGGAGGGTTGTTAATGCCAGCGTCGATGAGATCTACCTTGGAATGTCGACGTAGGCATCGGTGAGATTTGGCCGAAATCGAACCTATTTTAGCCAGATCTTGAGTATATTTTAAGGGGAATGGACTCAAGGGACAATTGTGATTGCATCTAGGGTGTTGCGGCTGCCAACCAGTCATCGACCGATTTGTATTTGGGATATGTTTGCTAAATTTCAAACTTATAGCGACTTAACGTAATTTTTAGGGGTGTATTTAATAAATTTTAGAAGTTTTTGTCAACCGGTTTGACCGCCAGTCAACCTGAGACCTGACAACTTTGTCGGGTTTCACCATTAAAAATACTTTTTTAATGTACTTATATTCTCTTATGGTCAAAGGCAGGATGCTTATCAATTACATAAAATATTAGTCTTTTAGAGTTGATTCCATATATTTAACTGATCTTATTTTATAACTTTTTTATGTGATGTTGTTTTCCTACATTTTATCTATAATTTTAACTCCATCTATAATTTTAACTACATTGGATCAAATTTGATTCGAATTGAGTTGGATATAATATGAACCTTTGTTATTTGGTTGAAGTGAGATGACTTTTAATGAGTGTTGGTGACAATCAACACCTGTAGATGTTGGAGTTGGAATATTTGGAGTACAGACTTTTGACTAAGCAAATGAGATGAGAGTCAATGTTTCGAATAATAGAGACAATTAAAGACACTCTAAAATAAAATTTCCAGAGTAGGTCAATTTGATGAAAATATATTGAGATATCAAATCATGGTGGAACAGCTAAACCAAAAATTCCTTACCTACAGCTATCACAACAGTTAAGGATGATTGCAAAAGAATCAACATGAGAAGATAAAGTGCAAGTATAACCTGAATCGATTTCAAAATAGTGTAAGCCCAAATTTTGACGAAGCAAAAATCGAGTGTAGAACAAAAGAGATGAAGCATAACAACATGATTTGATGTTGGATCTACAACCATCAAATAACAAATATTTATTACAATAATTGAGGAAAATGAAAGGGAGAAAATAACTTATAATTAACTAGTAATCGTATTTATTATGATCTCGGAGGATCATAATGCCAAAATTCCAAATTTTACATGAAATACGAGAACAGACAACTTTAATGTAACATGCAAGGCAGAAGAATCAGTGTCAAAATATACCATGATGAAGTTATTCACATCATCTCCTTTATCCAATGTTCTTAAATTCCAAATCCCTCGATTCCATAAAAATGCTATTCTTGCAATTGAATTCTTTATTAGAGTTTCTGAGATCTGAAAACTAGACAAAGGTATGCTAGGAACTTTGAGAGCAAATCTGTAGAGAAAGAATATCATATATTCAGTAGACTTGAAAAATCTTCCAAACTATCAACTTGATGATATAACTACATAAAATGATAAAAGCCAAGAGTTAGTGAAGGCAAAAGCTTTCATCTCCGATGAAAATCATATAAACATAAATTTTAATGCTAAAGCACTCTAGAATCCGGACCATAAACTAAGAAATTCCTGAACAAATCAAGAAAAGAAGTAGAGCATCCCAGATGCATTGCTTCAAATAATTTTGGAAAGTAAATAACGAGCTTTCAACAAGAGTGGAAAAATGGCTGACTGTTGGAAGACTGATAAAACCAGGGAAAAGAAAAAGATTTTTACGCCACAAACTTTAGTACTTACATGTTTGATGGTAAAAAGCCATATCCAAAAAGAGCAATTGAGACCAACAATAGAAGGTTGGCTGCAGACGAGGTGAAAGTTCTTCCAAAAAGGAAAAACTAGTAAAACAACACAACCAGAGCAAGAAAGTATGTAAATGATTTCTTCTCATCTCTCCAAAGAAAAATGTCTGCAACTGCATAAAAGTTCCAGAGAAGGCCAATTTTATGAAAATATTGAGATATCAAATCATGGTGGAACAGCTAGACTAAAAATTCCTTACCTACGGCTATTACGGCAGTTAAGGACGATCGCAAAAGAATCAACTTGAGAAGACAAAGTTCAAGGTCAGTTTTTATATACCTGGAACAGTTTTGATGTTCCTATCATGTTGAAATTTAGTCACTAGGTTTGCCACCCAACATAACCAAGTGAACACTAATAGACTTATAACAACATAATCTTCAGCCCTACAATTTCAAAAGGTTCACTTTAGAGTCTATTTAAAGAAATTTATAATGTTATAAGCTCTAACCTTTCCCACCGCCTAGCAGCTTTTCCACTTTTGATTGTTCATTTAAGTCAATGTAATGCACTAAAGGTGAGTCCTTAGCTAAGTGAGAGAATGATTCAATGGTTGAAGAGACACCTTCCTGGATAACCAACAATTATCACAAACATAAGATGTCAGACCTTAATATTCCCACATCCTATTCAAACACATCATGACAACATGCTAAAGGTTTCGGAGATTTTATTTTTGAAAAAAAACGATGCATAAAAGTTATATCAGTTGCAGCATACCAATTGTCCAACCAATTGATCAGCATGAATAGATGGACTTGAACAACTACCACTATCATAATAGTTGAAGACACATTACACAATTTCTCATATATAATTTTTGCTTTCTGAAATTTGCACCAGAAATGATCCAGAACCCTTGTCACCTACTTCAGGTTCCAATGCTGACGCGGCCTGCAACGCTGCCACCCATAAGCCCCCCCTGTACGCACTCACAGCAGTTAAGGATGATCGCAAAAGAATCAACTTGAGAAGATAAACTGCAAGTGCAACTTGAATCAATTTCAAAACAATGCAAGCCCAAAATTCGACAAAGTAAATATCGAGCATAGAGCAAAAGAGATAAAGCACAACAACATAATGTTGATGTTGGATCTACACCCATCAAATAACAAATATTTATTACAACAATTGTAAGAATAACAGGGGAGAAAATAACTTATAATTAACTAGTAATTGTATTTATTATGATCTCGGAGAATCATATCAAAACTAGACAAAGGTATGCTTGGAACTTTGAGACCAAATCTGTAGAGAAAGCATATCAAATGGTCAGCAGACCTGAAAAATATTCCAAACAACCAACTTGACTATATAATCACATAAACTGACAAAAGCCAACAGGATAGTGAAGGCAAGAGCTTGCATCTCCGATAAAAATCATATAAACATAAATTTTAGTGCTAAAGCACTCCAGATTCTGGACCCTAAACTAAGAAATTCTTGAACAAATTAAGAAAAGAAGAAGTAGAGCATCCCATATGCTTTGCTTCAAAGAATTTTAATAAGTAAATAACAAGCTTTCAACAAGTGTGGAAAAATGGCTAATTGTTGGAAGACTGATAAAAAAAGGGAAAAGAAAAATATTTTACGCCACAAATTTCTGTACTTACATGTTTGATGGTAAAAACCAACATCCAAAAAGAGCAACTGAGACCAACAATTGAAGGTTGGCTGTAGACGAGGTAAAAGTTCTTCTAGAAAGGAAAAACCAGTAAAATGTCTGCAACTGCAGCGACAGATTTTAAGGTCAATTTACAACAATAATCATATAATGAACTCGATACACAAAGCCCATTGAAATACACCATAACAAAAATGATGAACTGATAAAATCTAACTTAAAAAACATGCTCTACAAAGCAAACTCTTTTAGTGAATATCAGTTGTATTTTACTTAAAATTTGAGCAATTTATTGCATATGGGCTTTCAGTTGCAATAACACACAAAAATGCCTCATTCATCAATACAAAAAGAAATATACAGAACCAATTAACATATATCCTTCGGGCAGTGATACATGACATAACTAGATATCAAGTACCAGACAACAACTTGAGTGCTGATGCAAATTATTAGGGCTTGTACCAAGCA